TTTCAGAGATACTCGACAAAAAGAGGATTCTACAATCACACACACACTTACATTCCAGGATAACCTGCAGTATTTTTAACGTTTAATTTTGTTTAAAATAGTTTCCAAATTTATTGTCATCTAAACCTCCCTCACCCACCCAAAGTACCTATTAATATCCATGGATTTCCTGAACACATTTTGAAACTATGAGGGCACTAGAGTAAAGGCCTAATCCAAAATAGAAGCAAACAGTTCAGGTGAGGAAGAATGAGGGGGCAAACAGCAAGACTGGAAAGTGGAGAACCAGTCTTCATGCCTCATGAGGGCCAAAGTGCTGCTCCCTTGTAGAAGCAGATAAAGAATCACTAGAATGGGGGCAGAGGCATTAGCCAAGAGGACTAGGCATTCCCCACCTACTACTGGAAAAAGAAGTGGACACTGGAGAGAGGAGTGTGGAGTACCTTGCTTGGAAGAGCAGTTCTGGCATCTGATCAGCATCAATGGGGAAGAAAAGGAAATACCCTAGATCTGGAAAGGAGTTTTATATGCAGTGACACCAAAAGACAGGCATTCACATGTCTGGGATAACCTATACTATGGTGTGGGTCATTCAAAACCAAAAATCATTATGGGAAGAACATGACTCATTGAGATACAGAAAAAGCAACTAAGCAATTCTTGGTCTTAGCTACTGAAAACTTGGAAGTCATTCTCACTGGCATTTCTTGAGTAACAAGGGATACAGGGGACAAGAAAATTTAGGGAACTAGCAAATACTAACCTACATCTATTCTAGAATTCATCTGGAGTAGTGGGAAAACATAACCAGAAACTAATACCAGTGTCTATAGGTCATATGGTTACCCCTTATATTCAAAAAGTTTGTACATCTGAGAATGGAAGTCAGCATCCAGGAGCCCAAAGTCAGAAAAGAAAAAAATGACAAAGGAAAAAGAAATGAGCCATCAAAGACAATACAAAGGAACGAAATTAATTCCTCTGTCAGCTAAGTTCTTCCAAATTAAAAATACCCAATCATTCACAGGACTGACCAACCTAGCAACACAGGAAAACAGGGTATTCATGCTGTCTCTTTCCTCTCTCCCATTCTCCTGTACTTCCAAGTATCTTGGCCTGACCTAAACTCCCTCTCTTCATTAAATTTTTCAGTCCATCCCTAATTTTATCATGTTTTTGGAAAAGAGGAACTATGTCTATTATCTTTTTCTGTTAAACAGTGAACATATTTTAGCTTCATCTACACTGGAGTTTCAAACTTCTTGATCCCAATCTACAGCAAGAAATACAAGAAAACAAGATTTTTGTATAACCATACTTATTATTCTGCACATGATGTACTTGTTATCTTCTTTCTGTTCGAGTATAATTTTTAAATGCTCTTTGGACTTGGTAAACTGATTTTAAAACCTATCAAAACCAATAGGATGAAAAATAATGAGCTAGAAAAACAACATACTGGCAGTAAGTATATCAAAGGAGAAAAGATTTGGGAAGAAAATTTTTCATTGCCATTGAAGAGTAGTCCAATAAAATATTAATTTGTATCCAGTTAAGCCTTTTACCCTAAAACAGCCTGGGCTTACTATATAATACTGATCAAGTCCCAAGAATCATGGGATATTTCAGAAAATTTCAGGATATTTCTAAAATTCTTACTGTTAATCCTGACATCCCTGTTCTCACTCACAAGCAATTTATTCTTTTAAAAAAAGAGAAATAGGAGAGAAGTGAAAAAATAATAGCCACCACTTGTTGAACATACTTTTACCATGTGCCAATATTGTGTGAGACCAAATAATTGTACTTATTCACTATCATTCTTAGAATAGAATATACTACTAGGTTAATGAAAACAAGTGCCCAACCTACACTTTGGATGGCATTTATGATCATCCTAATTGAGGACTTAATTAAACTTAATCATCTGTATTAAATGAACATTTTGATAATTTAAATGATGAATACATTCTACTAAGCAAAAGCTAACAATGAGGAACAGAAGAAGTGAAAAACAAGTATCCTAAAAAAGATTTAGACCCTTCTAACCACCACCACCTCACTTAATTGAACCACACCAAATAATGCAAATAAGCTTTAAAACTACTCTAATGAAATAAGTTTAAACCAGTAACTGCTGATATGTTGTAGTAATAAGTTTATTAATCATTCAGATGTATGTATGTATATATACTGAATAAGGTATAAAATTAAGGACAATTTAAATGAAATGTTACAAAATCCAAGATTCAAGAAGCATCAAAAAAGTTATCCACATACCAATAGCCTTGCATGTTTCTTTTGTATTGAGTGATATTATCGTAAATCTATTGTTTTAGTATATTGATAGAGAATTCCCTAAAACTCCAATTTCCCATTTCAAAGTTGAGGAAAGCCAATTCTATTAATAATGTACTCATTCATTCATTTCTAGCAAATGTGTTATAATGTAAATGTTATTACTTCTACAACTCTACTGTAACTTTTCATAGTGTTATATACTGACAGCAAAGCTATTCTTTTATAATCAAATAAATGAAACCAAAATCATTTCAACAAATTAAAAAAAACAAAGGAGACAAAACAAAATCTTTCAAATCTTATTTGGTATTATTGGAAAATACATATTGTATTTGAAAGTGACCTATGCTCTTAAGGCACTCTTATCCCCTTGCTCCATTGCCCTTTGGCTTAATCCCCTCCTCTTCCTCTAGAGCTCTACTTATTTCCTCCCTTAAACCATCAGCACCAAGAGCAAAGAATGCTGTCAAAAAAAAAAAAAAACATATCTGACTTCGAACTGTCAGTTTTCTTATTGTCATGGTTCTACAATGAACAAAACACTAACTGTACCACGATAAAGTGAAATGGACCTTAACTGCCTACAGAATCTTGACTGACTTCATTTTTAAATGTAGTCTATTATGAGCATAAAAATAAGTACACAAAATAATCCCCCCAAAATTCTGGTCTCTTTTTCTCTAGCACTGAGAAACACAACAGGAATTTAGTAAAAAGACTGTATGTTTTTGTTACATCATGTCAGACTTTTAAAAAGACAATATATGGAAGATAGTACTAAAAGTTTATTTTGTATTATGAAAAGTCCTCAGTTTGAAATTATTTTATATAAATAAAAAGAAAATATATATCTGTCCAAATACCTATTTGACTTTTGATTTGGCTTAAATTAAATATGTAAAAGCAAAGATTTTTTTTAATAAATACAAAAAACAAAGTCCAAGGAAACATATTTAGTGGAAATATGCATAAATTATTATGATAATACAGCAAAATATCTCATAACATAAAACTACTATGCAGACTCTTTTTAACCAAAAGGCAGTTGAGGATATGTTTTTCTCCTTTACATAATTTTTAAACTGTATCTACTACTGGTATATACAAAGAGTTCCCCCATCATTTGTAAATGAAAAAGGATATTAAATGACAATCACAATCATGAAGTGTCACTACAGAACCATAATTCAGAACTGTAACGCTAATTCTAAAAGCACCAAACCTCTTCTAAACTAAATCGTCCCATAAAAAAAACACTAAACGATTTCTAAATTTTTGAAACACAGGATGTAAGACATGCGCTTTATTTCTACACATAATAAAAGACATATACTCACACAACCAGTACCAAAGTCAAAACTGTCTCAATCTTGAGAGAGAAGTCAGTTAAAAGATGGTTTAGAATTTACATTCCCAGGGTGAGTCTGAAGTCTGTAAAAATCATCCTACTCACATTTATACACACATGTATGTATATTAAAAACCTTGCCACATCAAGTTAATACAACACTTCTAATACTGGCAAATTGGATGAAATTGTGTGTAGGCAATCTCGAATGAGTGATTTACCTGGAAAACTGAATTTTAATAAATTTCAGGTCCAAAAAAAACCAAAATAATCACCGACTGATTTCTACTTCGGGAATATAAAGCTTTGCTTGGAAACAAGGGCATTTTTGTATTAGAACTTCCCAGCAAACCAAAATTATTAGTATTCCCAAGGTACAAAACACTTCTCTGGCTTCTATCCTTCCAAAGCCACGGAACCAATAGGTCGGGGTGATGATGTGCCCGCTTCCAACACGTAACTGCTAGATGTACAAACGTATGGGAAGCACGACTTAGTCAAGCCTTCAAGCTTGAAGGGCACATGGAGTGCTTGCTCTCACCACTGATCTATTCCACTACAGCAGGTCTTCTAAATCACATATACATTTAGGAGAATGAAGACAAAAATCTGACAAAAATCTAAATCACATATACATTCAGAAGAATGAAGACAAAAATTTAATCTGAATTAAATTCAGAGTAAATCTAACTCTCGGGCTGGGGCTGCTCCCAGGCTCCACCAACTATCACAAAATTTTCTAACTACTAATGTCACGCTCGCTATCTTACAAACATGCGATTTTTGGAAAGTCCATGTTGAGCAGTTTCCTTTGCTTGTTCTATATGGAGATGAAATAAAACCCACGGATCATTACACTCAAGTTCCTGTTGACTGAAGATACTTAATCTCCTCCCACTTCAAGAGTGATTTCCAAAGCCGGGAAGGGAACATTTCCACTAATAAATACCTTTCAATTGAATGTGTTATACCACCAGGAATTAGGCAACTGGGAGCAATAATTCACTTTTGCCCATCAGAGAACTATTCACAATCTCTTACTGCTGACTTACACACATAGTTTTTTCCTTACAAATTCCACATTAAATCAAGGCAACAACTGAGCACGTTTGTACTCCTGGGGAAAGTATTTACCAAAAACTAGGAAAAAAAGCTTAGATATGATTGGTGTCTATTCTTTGATTGAATATATTTTTTAATATATTCGCCACACAGTATGTATTTAAATACATAAAGTAAATTTTATATGTATTTATATATTTATTTACTCGTTAATTGAAGAGCGTTTACTAGTAACTATAGCAATTAAACCGCAAAGCCCAGTTTGTTTGTTCTTAAAACACAAACTTACCCCATTCCAGGTATTCAAGAATGTTCTTCTCTCTTCTCAATGGAGAATTACTGCATTCATCATAAAGGCAGATAAGTATGTCCAGTAAGGTTTCCACGCTGAAGCACTGCCCATTGGTCTGAGCCGGCCCGTCCAGAATGAACTGCTCCAACTGCCTCAAACGCACTTCCCCTGACATGTTTGCTTCAATTTCCGCCGACTTTCCTTTAAACTATTATTACGCTTTTTACTTTGATTATTTGAACCTAAATTTTAAGAGGTGTGGTTTTAAAAATAAACCACTTGTTATTCAAACAGCTGTCATGCGATGCCGGCGCCGAATTAAACATCCAGCACACCGGTTACCTCACTTAACTGAAGCGTCTTCAATTTCGCACATATACATATATTTTGAGGGAAAGTTACCATAAAATATTTTTAATACATCTTAAAAAGAATAATACAATTAAGTCGTATATTTAAATAAAATAATAATTAAAAGGACAGCGAGCCAAAGGGTCAACACTTATTTAAAAGAAAAACAAACTCCTCGCCTTAATTCAAAATTCAACTCGTGCAACATAATCCTGAAACGAATCCGGTTGCACCATTAATGATTTAAGTCCGATCTGCATCAGCAATTCTCTTCCCAGGAAGAAGGAAAATGAAAAAGGGAGGAAAAAACCAGGACGTTTATCGGGGGAGGGAAAAGCAGGAATCCTGCCGCAAACCCTGCCCACCGCCCCTCGGATTCCGCACTAGCGGCGGCCTCCGGCGGCGGAAGGCGCGAGGCCCCAACGGCCCCGAATGCGGCCCGAGGCGGCTCCTTCTCCGCCCGCGGTCCTCGTTTCTAAGGCTCTGCAGTCGGTCCCGTTTCCAGCGGATTCCAGTGGAGACTCATCTTCTCCCCTCGTCTCCAGGGGCCTGGCGGCAGCCGGCCAAACAAGAAACGACGGCGGCGGCCCCGGCCCGGGATCGGCAGCGGCGGCTACTCGGCCAACCGAGCCCGCTGCATGTCGGTGGTCGCCGTGCGCCGCTGGGCCGCGCCGCGCCGAGGCCCGCTCTCCCCTCACCCGCGCCAAGGCCACCCGCCCGCGCTCCCGACGCCCTGGCGCGGGCTGCTCTCCGAGACTCAGAGGACACGAGCGGCGGCGCGGGCGGCTCCTTCTCCCCAGTATCCCCAGCCCTGCGCTAAGGGCATCTTTCCCCGGCGAGGAGGGAGGCGGCCGCGGCGCAGGAGGAGGGGTCGGCGCGCCGGTGAGGAGACCAGAGGCTGCGGCAGCCGCGGACGGCCCCTCCCTTCCTCCCTCGCCGCCCCGCCTCCCGCTCTGCGCTCGCGCCCTGGGCTCCGCGCGGCTCGCGGCCCTCCGCGCGGGCGCGGGCTCGCTGCCCAGAACGATCCAATATGGCGCCGGCCTCGCCGCGCCCGCCCCTACGCGCCCTACGCGCCCGCCGCGCAGCCCGGCCGAGCCCCCGGGTCCTGCGGCCTCGCGAGCCGAGCCGGGCCCGAGAAGCGCAGGCGGGCCGCGAGCGAGGGTGTAGCGGCGGCGGGGAGCGCGGGGAACCTGGGGCCGGGAGGCCGCGGCGCGGGGGCGGAGCCGAAGCCGCGGGTCCCGGTGCTCCGACGCTGCTCCGGCCGGTCGCGGCTCGGGCTTCCCTCTCGTCCTCGCAGGCACCACCTGCTTGGCCCAGGTATGGCGGGGCCCGTAAAGCAGGCGGCTTTAAGCTTCCCACAGGTCTGTGAAAGCGTGCGGGGCTCACCGCCCCTTACCTCTCACCACCCGCCCCCCCAAATTCGGCAGTAATTTCCCGGGTGTCGAATTACACCACTTTTTGTATCACTTCCCATGATAAATACAATGATAGACTTGTGTTCGCTGCCATCCAAGTCATGAGTGTGTGTGCACGGACAGCACTTCTCCATGTCCGTTCCTAAGTTTCCCTACGCAGAGCACAACGTTTTCTCCTCATGAGTAGTCAAGCTGCTGCCTATTACACAGGCAAGGTTCCCACCGACCGGGGTTTCATCCTGCCGGGAGTCAGGACAGTTCACCAGTCACCAATCGTGCTGCTCCTCAGCACATACGCGCACACAGACGCACGCACACACACGTAGTCTACTGGCACAGTGCAGAAAATGGGCATGAAAGGAAGTCATTTAACATGGGTCCCTGATGCACTTGGGGCCTTCTATACATTTCTCATGGAAGGTCCCACATTCAAATGTATCACTAAACTGGGTCACTGCAATTCTGTCATTTCCTCTCAAAACTGCCATCTCCTTCATAATATTTCTCCAAAGTACAATTTCTTTATATTCCTTTTCTACACCAGTGGGGCAGTTATGTTTTCTATGTTAGTGCCCACACTTGCACATTTTTACATCTTAATAAATATAGGAAGCTGAGGAAAAACTAGAAACAAGGTCTAGAAATAAAGTCTAAAAATGAAGACTGACAAATTGTTCAAGCTCCTGTGATTCATAAAATACTGAATTGTTTTTGTGAAATCTATACTAGCCAAGTCTACCCTTGTCTGGTTAAATAAGGACAGCATTATTTCCAATGTACTCTTGACACATGACTGATGCTTACTCAGACAAAAGATCAATCACTTCAACCCATGACATCTTTACATGTGTGTTGTCTAATTATAAAAGTAATAGAAAAGCTTGATCCGAACAGATACAAATCAACATTTTGATGTTTATTATTCAAGCCTTTTTTCCTATGCATTTTAACAAAAATGATACATAAAGAGGACACTTTTATAGCCTCCCATTTTCACTTAGCAATATATTATGAACATCTTTTCAGGTCAACACATACTCTTCAATAACGATTTTTAATAGTGAAGCCAAGACATTTTAACACTTTCATTTGACCGTGAGGTGGGGTAGCAAAGAAGCAATTTCTGCTTTGACACTGTGAAACTGGTTCCAAGTTATCTACTTGTCCAACTAGTAAATAATACAAAGAAGAGTTTAAAAGAGAACTTAAAACATGTTAGGGCTCAGTAAATGCTAAGTAACAATGGAAGTATAGAATATAGAGATATTCTTAAAAAAGAGTCCAGCTGCCAGTCCTCTTTCTGCCTATTCTGTTAGCACTTGGGTACCACCCACAGTCCAGGGGATTGATGGTTGCCTAATAATCTTTTCAATATTATTTAGAAAGTACAGGAGAGAACTTTTTTTTTAAGGCACAAAGAGAAGAAGGTTGAACTCAATCATTTTTGCTTCAATAATTCAACTCAGAGACTTAATAATTAACTAGACACTAAACACATTGTGCAGATGTTATTTTAAATGTTCCGGTTGAAGTGTGAACGTGCTTGTTAATAAAACCGGTCCTAAGCCAAAGAATGGCACAATGTCAGCAGCTACACAGTGAGAGAAGTGCTTCTCAAAACTAGAGTGGCACAGGCTGCGTGGCAGGGTGTTCTTTGGCAAAAGAGCCTGGAGGAGGTCTTTATGAAATTCTGCCAGGGGGCCTGGAGATTAGATGTATACCAGTGCGAACACAATTTGTTTGAAATTGTCAGAAGAAGTTTTATGGAGGTGCTGGGAATTATTCCGACCTTTCAGAAAAGAAAGGACAGGAGAGGACAAGAAAATAGAGTGAAAAGAATTAGAACGAGAGTCATTAAGCCTTGACTCCATGCGAGCTCTCTTCAACCAATCCCCTATTCTGGCTGAAAAGCAGGAAAATCAATCCATCAATTAATAACAACCAACCTCACTCTTACTTTGCTATATCTTATTCCAGAATAACTTTAGGTTCAGCAATGGAGAACAGGGCTGAAAGCAAGGTGAGTGCCAGCAGGGCTTCATGTATAGGAACATCCTCTTTCAGCACAGCAAACCCATCCTGACCCTGCAGGTAAATGATTTGGTTTAGTGCCCTCTGAGGATAAAATAGCTGCAAATGCTTGTCCTCACTTCAGTCTGGCTCCTGACATGAGTCATAACAAATGCAAAGGCTCATGTTATGAAAAAACAGACAATATAAGTAACAATTGCTTCCTTTACAGACATGCTGTGTGAGTACTGTCCTGAGTACTTTGACAGCTTTATTCTATTCAATCACCATAACCATGTGAAGTAGAAAAATAATCATCCCCTTACCATTGATGAGGAAACTGAGGCTTGGAGAGCTCAGATAACCTGTGAATGATCCATAGCTGGCAAGTGACCCAGGAGCTGGGATTGAACACCAGGCCTGCCTCATGCCAGGGCCCATGGTCCTAACCATTCTCCAAGAAAAGTCTGAAATATCCACAGAATTCTGTAAACCCATCTTCCTCCTTCCTGTTGTAACCAGGAAGCAGTGGGATATAACTGTTAATTCACATATTGGGCAATAGAAATTGGTATCCAGGCAAAAGAGGGCAACATATATGATGTGCAAGATTCAACCAGAAAAAAGGAAATCACCTGTGTATTTAAATCAGAGGAACCTTAATTCTGGGAAATGGTTACACAGATGATGGAAACGCTGAGGAAACAAACTGGAATCACAATTTCCAATCAGGTGACCCAGAGTTTGGCAGTGGCTACTTCTACCACCCCAGGCTGGTAGAAGCTAAAACCAGGCCTACTGGGAGCGGGAACCACAAAGGAGATGCAGGGCTCCTGGGGAGGCTGCCCTAGCAAGACTGAGGGGAGGAGAATCCCCTTTCCTCGAATCTCTGGCCATTTGCCCCTAACACCGAGCAGGTGAAAGAGAGACTGCATGTAGAATTCCCCAAGATACAGAGCAGAGTGGGCAGTAGGTGAGGAAGAGCTGTAAACCCAAATGGGCTAAGGATTCACATGCATGTAATCAACACAATTGCGGTTTTACCCAACCTATAAAAAAGTTGATAAAACAAATGTTTGATCTCTGAACAACCACTAGGTAGATTTTGAAGTGACATGGTTTTAACATAGGAGCAGTTCCTACTCTTCCCTTTTCATATTTAGTTTTTTTTTAATTCCTCAAAACATTTAAAAGCAACCAATCAAACCATCTTCATCTAGAATGTGCTTACTTAGGTTCACAAACTAGTATTTTCCCCTTGCTTATCAATGAATCTTGCCCATCTTGCCCTATCTTTCAATCTTGCATTTAAATTTTTCATTGAAGTGCTACATAAACAAGCTCTCCTATAAATGGATTTTTCAAAAATATATTTAGGATCAAACATTGTCCACTATAAGAGCTGTTTGGTAAATTTGAATATTAAGAAGACATAGGTAGCATTCTCAT